ATCCACTCATCAGTAGAACATATTTAAAACTATAAGCACTTTTGAATTTTTTTTAAAATGTTCGGTTGCGTTTCAAAAATACTTATAAGATTTCGAATAAATTATGGGAAAAACTCAAATAGACTATTTGATTGCGTTAAATTTTGAACTTCTCTCATAAACTCTTTTTAAGCTTATTTAAAGTGTTGAAATATCAAAAATATCTTTATTATATTAAAACCTTTTTTGGTAAATTAATTTCTTATCCAAACAACCAATAACTTTTTTATAAATTGTACCAAAACGACCCTGAACTAAAATAGAATTTAGAATAATGTAAATATGTAATTAAATACAAGCGATAACAGAAAAAAGAATGAGACAATAAAAGGGAAAGAGAGAATGAGTGACATTAAAAAATGTGAGGAGGAGAAAAAAAATAAAAAATAAAAAATAAAAAGAGAGAGAGTATTTATTCAAGAACAGCAAAACGTTAAGAATTAAGACGTTCTTCAATATTACTGTCTTTCACATTTTTTTTTTATTTTTTTTTTGTCTTCTCTCTTTGGGATCTTTTTAATATTATTATTCATTCCTTCTCTTGTATAAGAATTGTTACGTGAGTAGCTTCCAATATTTTTTAAGTACAAATTTTCACCGTTTTCGAACCAAAAAATTCGGTTTTAATTTTTGTCTTTCAGTATTAAATGATATAAAGGGTCCGTATTTTGCAAAAATTGAGCGTCTACATCTAAAAATAATACAAATTAAAATTTTCTTGTGAAAGTTACCTTTCAAATGCTAGAGCTAAACTCTTGTTGGAGAGAGTATGTCTAAATTTCCTGTACGTGGTAATTTTTGTTTATATATATATATATATTTTTGTGAATTAGAGATTGTCGGTTTATAGTATTAATACATAACATAAACTTGTAAAGTTAATGTAAGAGTTAATAACAATAATCTCGTTGAGGTTTCGAAATAACAAAAAATATTTTATCATTTTTAAGTTTTTGATATTTAAATAAATGCAAAAGAGCAATTAAATCAATGAGTAATGATAAGTCTACGACTCAATCTCACAATATTTTTTCACAACAGTCGACATGACAGTTTGCAGTTGATTAGCTCGTAAATGAGTTCCGCTTGTTTGTTATGATCAAGATCTACAACAACAATTTTACCATGAAATTTCATATTAGTAATTGAAAGAAGTTTTAATAGTTTGTTAATAAATTTTTTTTTTAATTTAATTTTTTTTTTGTTATTTAATTAAACTTTTAGAGTCATACATTAGTATACATAAAAGAAAAAGGGAAATATCATAATTTACTGTATATAATTACAGGATAACCTCTATAAATTAATAAATTAGTAACCTCTATTATATAATAATTTCTTATGGTCCCAACTTGAGATAGTAGATTAAATTAATAATTTCGATAAATTAATAAAATAATACTTTTATGAAAACCTTACATAATACTTTTATAGAAAGTCTTACATAACTACCTGGTCCTATTCATATCATAAAATAATACTTTTATGGAAAGTTTTACATAATTTCTTATGGTCCCGACTTGGGATAGTAGATTAAATTCATAATTGACTATGATATTTTATTAAAATATGACTTTATTGTTACTTGCTTTTTCTTAAAATTTAAATCATGTTAAATCTCATCTCTAATTTTTCTCATTACATCTAAAAGTTGTGGGGTTGAATTATCGAATTACAATAAAAAATTATAAAGTGTTGTTGATGCTTTGAGTGCTTCCTTGCGCGTAATAGGCTCCAAAGCTATTGTATCATCCTCAGTTTTGTCAATAGCATGATTTTCAATAATATTAGCAACGATTTAATTAAGTACATAAATACAATAAATTTAAATTAATGATTTAATATATATTTAGTGGATTAATTCATATTCAATTGATTAAATTGGTAAAATACAATGAATTTTTAGTTGATTAAATGTATGTTTGTCAAATCATAAATACACTCTATAAATAAATAATTTATTAATTTATCAATTAATTAATAACTCTTTTAATTAATAGAATTTACATGGTCCCAAAATTATTAATTTATAGAAGTTATAATATATTAGTATCATAAATGGTAAGTTACTGTATTTAAAATTTACCATAATATGTAAAATGAAGTATTATAATATAATAATAAAACTAAGTGATTAAAGAGCCCTTTAAATTTTGAAAACGATGGATCACCAATCACCATCGAACGGTCACTATTTTTTCCCGAGTAAACGATATATTCCCACCCAAGGTTGGGCGAATCTCCGATCCCACCTCTGGTTTCATAAACTATAAATTCTCACCCTTAAATTAATAGATAATTGTATAATCTAACAGTTAAAAAGGTAAAATGATCATTTCAAATATGAAAATTTTAAAATAACCTTTCACTTTTCAAATTCACTCTACCAAATTTTTTTAAAATAACCATTCGCTTCTAAAATTCACTCTACCAAATTTTTTTAAAATAACCATTCACTTCTAAAATTCATTCCCATGGGCCATTTCAAGCCATTTCGGCTTGTTTCCGACACAATCAATCCCTCCTAACACCACTATTATAATCCCCTCAACCCTCACATTAAAACCTTTAACCTCCCTGCGTGATTGAACCCCCCAATCGTCGGTCATCGCTTTTAATGTCAATCGACGTTTCATCCAACTTCTGGCAAGTTCCGACACCGAAAACCACCCCTAAGACCACCAATAGCATCGCTAGCTTCCCCTCACCAAAACCCTCAACATCGTCGACTGTAATTGCTCGCCGATCGTCATAGCCTCTCTCTTAGGTTTTCAAATTTTTTTGCCCCTTTCTAGCCAAATTCCGACACCTCGTCGAGGTGCAATCAGGTGGCAAAATTATGGATTTTGCTGAGGAGGACAAGAGGATGGTGTTGGTGGTGTCGAGGAGGTCCAATTGTGTCAGAATCAGGTCAGATTCTTGGCTTGACTGGGAGCCTTTGAGGGTTATTTAAGAGAAATTTGAGATATAGAAGTTATTTAAAAAAAATAATAGCACTAATTTAAGGGTAAAAATCTGTAATTTATGAAATCTAAGGGTGAGAAATAAGATTTGCCAAACCTTGGGTGGGAAAAAGTCGCTTACTCTTTTTTCCCTATAAAAGGTGTAGCATTATCCTGTCAGTCTGTCATACCCTGCCCCCTTGCATCACGCAAGTAATTTATCATCTGCCAGATGTTAGAAATTTGAGGATCATCCATTAAATCGTACGGCTGATAACGTTGTCTGACATTTTATGAATAATTCAATGAATATTAAAATTAATGTGCATAATATTTTTTAATTTAGTAATAATATTAATATCGATCATATCATATTTTAATCTAAATATCAAACGTATATTACATCATTCAAAACAGATTCTCGGTGGACTGCAAGAAATTTTTGTTTAGATTAGTTTAGAAATATCGGCTCCTCCTCTCATCCGATCCTATCTTAAAAAGATGAAAAATGTGTTTTTGGTAAAATATATTTCTAAATTTGTTTTGATTTTCAAAATCTATACGTAAATTGGATTTTCAAATTAGTGTTATATTTATGTTTTTATAATTATAAATACTTTTTGGAAAATATTTAAAAAATGCACGAAGTAACTTTATAATAAAATTTTTAACCAAATATAACCAAAACCAAAACTTCTCCGTACCCTAAAAAGGGATGTGACAATAATATAGGACAATCCCGTGTGATGAAACCACAAAAAAAGGTTAAGTATTGGTGGAACTTAGAGACAACTCACTACTGCCAAATCTTGGAAACTGAAACCTTATAATTATGTGGCTGATTATATTTATTTTTGTAAAGGACATTTTGTCCTAATTAACTCCTGTTTTAGTGTCGGTGTGCTTATCATATTTAAACCATTTTTTTTTTAATTAATTACCAAGTAGAATATTTTTGAAACTTTGGCATATACTTTAACAACCTCTATAGTTTTTTATTTTTCTTCGTCAGAATTTATAATGGTTTTTGTTTTATAGCGTTCTAAGTATATGTCATTTTTAAAAGAAAAAAAAAAAATTGGATTAAAGACAATAATTCTAAGGTTTCGATCAGCTTAAAAAATTATTATTGATAACTTTTAAGTGTTGAATTAAACGATATAATGATAATTAGATAAATTTTTTTTTACTGATAATAATGCATGGCTCAAAAACTCACTAATAATTCATTACTAGCAAATGAATGTTTGTTATTTTATAAACACAGTAAAATTATTGTTATTTAATTAAACATCAATGTATTTCTTGAAAGTTAAATTTGGGTTATTATAACATTTCACCCCTCAATTCATCGCCAAAACTATTAACAACCAAAAAAAAAAAAAATAAATAAATAAAATCATCACTAACTAGTTTACGGCTTAATTTACAATACTTTTTTTCACTTTGTTTTGTCAACTCGAGTTCAAAATTGGAGTTTTTGCTCTAATAGTTTTTTTTTTTTTCCTTATAACGTAACTCTTTAATTTTTTTTTTATAAACTAAAAATCTTAATCTTTAGGTTGAATCTCGACAATAATCACATATCAGATTTGTGACTTATCTAATTTATTGAACATGTAAGATGTTTGATAGGTGCAGGAATTAAATCCCAGCTAAAGTAAAAAAATTCTCCCGTCCTAAAATGACTTTTGACTGTGTAAATGCTTATTACAATACATTGCTTCGATTTTTGGGAAGTATAAGAGTTAAATTTATTTTAATTTCAAAACCGGTTCAATGCGGTTAGAAAGTTTTAATGGTAGTTAGTTACGGGGCGGCCCGGTCCACTTTCATACAAAGTACAAAACTAGGAAATGTACAACCAAGAAATTATCAAACTTTTATTTGTCTTTACTTACGCTTCTTTCTTCACCTCTTCCATTTCTCTCCTTTATCTTCTCTTCCAGAAATAATGTTCTTGAACCTCTGCAACCTCTCTCCATTGCTGCAAAACCATCTCCGTCTTGCCGTAACGCCATGCCTTTATCGAGCCTGCATCAGCTTCTTGTTGAAGAAGGCTTTGAACCAGAAAAATTATCAAAAAATTTAAGGCCTATAATGAAGCTCAAAGAAAGAGTTGAACCACCTGATGATTCCATCACTCTCCCTATATACATCTGCCGCAACGTCAAGACGTTCGACTTCACGAAGGCGAAGACCGAGAAGTCTAAGTGGTCATCGATAGTTTCATCAGCTGGAAACCATAACACCAATATGAAAAGATCAGCGGAGGCTGCACCGATTGATGAAGTTGCAATAAGGGCAGTGGTGTCCATCCTCAGTGGATTCATTGGCAGGTATTTGACGGATGAAAGTTTCCGAAAATCGGTTAAAGAGAAGATCAACAATGTCTTGGTGAGAAGAAGGAAAGATTGTGACGATGGAGGGGTGTTGACAAACATGGAAATTGGAATTGAAAGCATTGAGAAATTGGTGGAAGATGAAGGGGCAACAAAGAAGGAACTTAGAATGGAACTGGTGAAGAATTCAATTCAACTTTTGAGTATTGTTGCCTCTTTGAACTCAAAAAATTCTAGACAAAATTCAACTTGTGGCATTCCCAATTCACATCTCTCAGCATTTGCTCAACTCTACATAGCAATAATCTACAAGTTGGAGAAGAATGACAGGATTTGTGCTAGACATTTGCTTCAAGTTTTCGTTGATTCGCCGTTTTTAGTAAGGACTCATTTGCTTCCTGATCTTTGGGAGCATGTTTTCCTGCCTCATCTTCTTCATCTCCAGGTTTGGTACAATAAAGAATTTGAGTTGATCTCAAACTTGAATTGTAGTGATAAAGAAAAGAGAATAAAAGGTTTAAGCAAGGTGTATAATGAGCAAATGGACATGGGGACTACTAAATTTGCTCTCTACTATAAACAATGGCTTAAAGTGGGGGCAAATGCACCCACTGTCCCTTCTGTGCCTCTGCCTTCAAGGCCTAGCTATGGAGGAACATCGTCGAGGAGAAGACGATCATCGGATTCGCTCGCCTCGCAGTCCTCCTCCATGAGCAAAAATTTGTAAGCTAGCTACTAAATAAACATGTTTTATTAGATTAGACAGTACTTATGCTGATTCTGCCATTGGTTTTGATTTCAAGGTATCAAACTGTGTTTGGCCCCACACCTGAGCAGATTTCAGTGGAATTTAATCATCAAAGAAGACATTCAATCAATGCATGGAATCTCCAGGAAGAAAATTACAATAACTTCAATTATGTTAATGTCGGTGACTCTTGTCTCTTTCCCAGTACTTCAATAATTTTCTTTATCTTGTAGATCCTGTGCTAAATTTGTATAGATTGTTGTCATTGTGACAGAACAAAGAATCAAGACCTAGGCGAAGATCATATCAATATGACAGAGTTTCAAGAACAAATTCATGGATTGATTCAGAAAAATCAGACTATTTTCGAGTCCTGACATGCCGCGGAACGCCAAAAGAGTTCCTAGTGAACTCAACCAGGAATGAGTCCAATGTTCAAACTTATTCAAGTGAACTCAGCAGCGCGATTACCGCGATCTGTTCATCGGAAAATCTGACTGAATGTGAAGTTGCAATTCGGGTAGTCGCCAGGGCTTGGTTGAATTCACATGGTGATCCTGCGGCAGAAGCTGAACTATTGAAGGCTCCTGTAATTGAAGCAATGCTTGAGGTTTTGTTTGCTTCAAGTGATGATGAAATTCTGGAGCTTGCAGTGTCAATCTTGGCGGAATTCGTGGCGCGAAACGAAGCGAATAGGCAGATAATATTGAACTCAGATCCACAGCTTGTCATTTTCATTAGACTTTTGAAAAGTAACAGCCTGTTTCTGAAGGCTGCAGTACTGCTTTACCTGTTGGAACCAAAGGCGAAACAGATGATATCGACCGAGTGGGTGCCATTAGTCCTTCGAGTGCTGGAGTTCGGAGACCAGTTGCAGACCCTTTTCACAGTGTGCTGCAGAGCTCTAGTGGCTGCATTTTATTTTCTGGATCAGCTACTAAACGGTTTCGATGAAGATAAGAATCTGGAGAATGTAAGAGAAGTTGTTTCACTTGGGGGATTAGGCCTATTAATGGAGAGAATTGAGAAAGGAGAAATTGATGAGAGGAAAAAGGCTGTCTCCATTGTGATTTGTTGCATAAAAGCTGATGAAAATTGCAGAAATTTCTTAGCTGAAAATCTGAACAAGGCCTCAATTCTTGAGCTCATTGCTGGTGATCAGAACCTGAAGAATTCTGATGGAAGTGCAATTGCTTTGTTAACTGAGTTACTCTCTTTACAAAGGTATGAAAGTTGCTTCCTAATAATTCATTTCAGGCTAATTTTAAAGCTCAAAAAAAACAGTAAATTTAAAATTAAAAAAAATGCATTTGCAGAAGAACCCAGATGATGAAATTCTTAGATGGATTAAGTGGAGGATGGGGTGGCTTCAACACTATGCACATTTTGTTAGTTTATCTGCAAAGAGCTCCACCAGAAGAACGACCACTGGTTGCAGCAATTTTATTACAGCTTGATCTTCTGGTAATTTCATTTCTATTTACTTCATCATTCCCATGATACATGTTTACAATAGATTTGATTAGAATTTTGCTGAGACAATATATGAAGTAGCAGTAATGTTGCAGGGTGATCCATTGAAGTGCAGCATGTATAGAGAGGAGGCAATGGAGACAATTATAGCGGCAATGGATTGCCAAACTTGTGATGAAAAGGTTCAAGAACAAACAGCAAGAGCACTCATGATGTTGGGAGGTTATGTTTCTGAGGCAACACCAGAAAATTTGCTTTTAAAACAAGGAGGTCTCCATGAGAAAGATGATTCTTTCTACAGCAAGAGAGTAGTAGCTTTTGATGAAACCTTGGTAAGCTTAATTAGAATCACATACTGTAGAAATTAAATTAAGAAAGAAAATATATAATTTTTTTTTTTTTTTTTTTAACTCAAAATAAAATGAGCAGAATGAAGAGGAACAGGCAACAGAAATCTGGCAAAAAGTGGCAGCAATTGCCTTGGTGAAGAGTAGCAACAAGAGTTTGTTTTCAGCACTTTCAAATTGCATAGGCAATGGGATTCCAAGTTTAGCAAGAGCAAGCCTCTTCACAGTTGCATGGCTGAGCAGGTTTCTCCATTCTCTTGGTGATGAAAATTTGCTGTCAATGGCATGCTCAATCCTTGCTCCTCAACTGCTACAATCCTCAAGCTATGACAGAGCTCATGAAGAACAAGCATTGGCTTCATTTTCATTAGAATGTCTCACAAAATCTTCAGGTATTATTTATTTTTTTTGTCATCCTGGAAAATTTGCAAATGATCAGTCCATTAGTTCAAATCTCATCATAATAGGATTCTCTTCTGATTTGAGCTTTGTAGTTTCTTGTCTGCTTACTTGTTTTATTTGTTAAATTTTGTGACAGATTATTTCTCCATGCTCTCATCATTGGAAAAAGACTTCTCTGGCCCTCTTTGGAATCCTTGTTAATCTCCATAACTTTGGGTTGTCAGCACGGTAACGTTACTTGTTATCATATTCGGTAAAGTTTCAAGGTATAAATCATGATGTCGTGATAATGTATAAATATGTTTTGATAATTCAATAAATTATTAATACTATTTTACAAACAAAAACATCGATCATTACACATTATCAAAATATTATTATTCGTCATCAAGATATTTCATCGGTCAATAAAATTAACCGTTATTTAGTACTATGACAATTCTCCTTAAGAGTTAGTAATTTCACGTCTAATTTTCTTTTCTTTCTTTTTAATTTTTTTTCTTTTCCGGGTGCATGTATATAAACGTAATTAGGGTTGTCCAGGATTTTTTTTTCTTTTTTTGGTTACCTTGTATTAATTTCTATAACATAGAAAATGGGTTTTGGTTGAGCTCATATTTCTAGCATTATTTATTCATGGAAAATAGAAAAATATTCTCTCCTATTTCAAATATTTGTCACTATTCAAGCTCCGTGGCATGTGATAATTTGTCTTAATATATAGCCAGCTAATCGCTGAGACCACTATCCAACCACAATAAATTAACATTTACTATTAGAAAAATTCATTTAAAATATCTCATAAAAATAAAAATAAAGACAAGAATAATAATAATAATTTCAATTTGGGATTAAAGGGTAAATCAAAATTCTAAGATGCAAACATCCTACTATTTTAATATCCAGAATAGCATTACAGGGTAAATGGAAATTTTATACTACCATTTTAAAATCCAAGACAAAATTTCAATCAAATATCTCGTATCAAGAATTCGAAAAACACAATCAATAATACTTATTTATACAATAGTACCTTTCTATAATGATACTTTATATAAGAATAACCTCTAAATAGTGATGAAAAATTCTAATCCCAATTTGAGATAGTTATAAATAAGAATAAACTCCGTATTATAATAAGTTATAATTTTTCTAATTCCCGTTTTAAGAAAGTTGCCTCCACATAGTAATAATTATCCGTATATTACCAAAAAAAAAAAAAAAATGATAAATTAAATTAAAGATTTAAGATGAATAAAATATTTATCTAAAGTTCTTTGGAATAATGATTTATACTTTAAAATTATTACCATATCTTTTAACTTGCAGGTACGTAATAACTCACTAGGATAGATTTTTTTTTGTTAAAGTCAAAATATTTTTAATTCTTAAGTATGTTTAGAGTTTTTTGGCAGGAAACTTTTTATATTTTCGTACTATCATTCTCAGGATTATTCCATCTTTCTTTTTGTCTAATGAATTATAAAATAAGAAATCAAAACAGTAATTTTTATAACTACACTTGTATTAAGTTATAATCTCTTTATAGTAATAAATTAGTTTAATCCCACCATTACAATTAAAGAGAAGTTTTACTGTATATATATTTCAACTTATCCACAACATGCTTTTCAATTTATGTATATGTCCTCTTCCTCGGTCTTTCCTATGTATTTCCATTGACAAAATCCAAAATGGATGAAAACTAAGACCAAATAAATCCAAGAAAATGCATTGTTGTGTAGTGACAAAATACCAACGAAGAAAGAGAAGAGAAACACAGAATTGTGATTGGTTTTGGGGTCCCCTTTTAACAGCCACCAATTGATTGAAACATAGAGTGGCTAAATTCCCACCTTTAGTATCCACTTACCAAAAGAACAAAGTCAGACAAATTGGAAAAGGCCAAAAATATAAAATCAAATCTACAAGAATTTGCACCACAAAATTATAACTATTCCTTCATGTAAAATAAGGTTTCACAGGATCAAAATCTTAGGTTGATCTTCGTGAATAAATAAATAGAAATAACTAATTCTGTAAAACCGGTCATATCAAACTAATTTATTATTTTAAGAAGGTTATAACTTAATAAATGCGTAGTTACAAAAATTACTATTTTGATTTCTTATTTTATAATTCACGTTTTAGTAATATGTATTATGATTTCACTTAATTGTTTTAGTAGTTATTACTGCAATTAGACAATAAAAGAAAAGAAATAATTTTGAGGATGATAGTACAAAAATACCAAAAGTTTCGATTTGAGAAGCTCTAAATATACTTGAGAAGCTCTAAATATACTTGAGAAGCTAGAAATATTTTGGCATTAACAAAAAGGTGTCCATGCTGGTGAGTTATTATATACCCATAAGCACTGTTTTAAAAACTGGATCGGACCGGTCGGTCGGACCGATTGTACCGGGAACCGGCAGCTTCTCCTGTCTGGTTTAGGTCTTAGGGGGGTTTTTGAAATATTTTAAAATTATAAGGGTTACTTTGTGATTTTATAGGGGTATTTTAGAGATATATCAAAAGTTTAGGGATTAATTGGAAATTTTATTGGGGCATTTTTGGAATAAATAAAAATTTTAGGGACCAATTTGAACTTTTTTAGGGAAATTTTTGTAATATATTAAAATTTAAGGGGTTAATATGAAATTTTTTAAAAATAAAATTTTGCTGACATCATCGGTCCAACCAACCGATCCAACCAGTTGGACCGGTTGACCTGTGACCCGGATAGCAAAACGGTTTGCCCTCCGGTCCGGGTTTTAAAACAATGCCCATAAGTTAAAAAATGTAGTAACAATTCTAAAACATAAATCATTGTAAAAATTTTAGATAAATATTTTATTTTATCTTAAACCTTTAATGTAACATAACATTTTTTTTTTTTTTTGGCAATATACAGATAATTATTACTATATAGAGACAACTTTCTTAAGACGGGAATTAAAAAAATTATAATTTATTACAATGTGGAGTTTATTCTTATTATAACTATCCTAAGTTAGAATTATTTTTTTTTTTTTTATAATTATATAGAGATTATTCATATATAAAGTATCACTATAGAAAAATGTTATTACATACCCATAAGTTAAAAATGTAGTAACAATTCTAAAACATAAATTATTGTAAAAACTTTAGATAAATATTTTATTTCATCTTAAAATTTTAATGTAATATAACATTTTTTTTTTTTGGCAATATACAAATAATTATTACTACGTAGAGACAACTTTCTTAAGACGGGAATTAAAAAAATTATAATTTATTACAATGTGGAGTTTATTCTTATTATAACTATCCTAAGTTAGAATTATTTTTTTTTTTTTTATAATTATATAGAGATTATTCATATATAAAGTATCACTATAGAAAAATGTTATTACATACCCATAAGTTAAAAATGTAGTAACAATTCTAAAACATAAATTATTGTAAAAACTTTAGATAAATATTTTATTTCATCTTAAAATTTTAATGTAATATAACATTTTTTTTTTTTGGCAATATACAAATAATTATTACTACGTAGAGACAGCTTTCTGAAGACGGGAATTAAAAAAATTATAATTTATTACAATGTGGAGTTTATTTTTATTATAACTATCCCAAGTTAGAACTAATTTTTTTTTATGATTATATAGAAATTGTTCCTATATAAAGTATCACTATAGAAAAATGTTAGTGTAGTTAATAAAAGAAATATAATGAGCACAATAAAACTTCATATTTTAAAATCGTATCGTGAAACTTGTAAATTCAAATATAAACGAGAGTTTTTCTCAATCCTATAAGGTTTAATCAAAGAGTAATGCTACAGATACCGAATTTGTGCACTGAAATTTTTTACCGAATGACGTGGCATCCACTAAGATGCGGCCACGTTGGACAAAAAATACTGATTCCGTGAATGGACGGCCATCCATCTTACACGAACGACTGTCAATACATTATGGACGACTGTTCATCACAAATGAACGATTGTTCACGACAATATCAATGGACTCCCATCTATATAATATGGACGGGTGCCCATTTACTATGGACGGGCGTTCATATAAAATGGATGCCCGTCCAGAAAAGTTTAAACACTAATAATGGATCGATGGGTGTCCATATAGAATGGACAGCCGTCCGTGTAAGATGGACGGATATCCATACCTAAATTATAGTTTAATAAAAAAATTTCTACATTGTGAATACTTTTTATCTATCTCTATTGCTTTGCATTTTTTTGTTTTTATAAATGAAAAAAAAAAGTTGTAAATTTAAAAAAAAATTATTTGAGTAAGGACGACAATCCATCTCATGACCATTCTCATTAGATGAACTAGGTCCATACTTTTTACTTTAAAATTCAATTTTTTTTTTTTTTTTACTTTATTTCATCTAAAAGTTTTGTGCTTTAAAAATGAATATTTCATGTAAATTTTTTTACTTAGACAAGCGATAGTTTTTTATAATTGAAAAAGAAATTGTATATTTAAAAAAAAAAAAATTATTTGAGATGGACGATGGTCCATAGTAAAGGGACTCTCATCTATAATATATAGACGGGAGTCCATTGATATTTCCAGGACTTTCGTCTATTTATAATGAACGATCGTCCATAAGATATGAACAGACGTTCATAATTGTTGGACGACCGTTCATTCACTGAATACCTATGTTGTGTACTACGTGATCACGTTTGAGTTAGATGCCAAATAGATCAGTGCAAAATTTCGGTACCAGCATTCGGTGTCCATAGCATTTTTGTTAATCAAATTACATTATTCCATTTGAGTTTTAAAAATAAGTGCCGCTGTGTTGCATTTAAAATTATAAAATAATGAGTTAATAAACATCGACCTAATTGTCCGTTTTCTTTATTATTTTAAACAAAATTTGACGGTAAAAAGATTTCCGTTAATATAATTAGTGAGAAGATTTTTGATATTACAATAATTATAGAAGAATTTTTGTTATTTAAATATACGGGGGATTATTGTTATTAATCCTAAAAAGAATAAGCTACCATTTCCCTGTGTTTCGTATAATCCAAAGCATAAATTCTCTCTCTGTCTGACCCAATAGAAGAGAAGAACAATGGCGGTGGCAACTGCTAAAATTAGAGCCTGTCAAAATGTCATCAATATGACAAGGATATTTTCATAATATATAGTAATATTTCATTAGTATTTCAAGTTTGTCTATGATTGAAGTTGCCAAAGCAGCAATTTCAAACAATATTTTAAGACCAAATCACCAAAATAGACAACAATGATAAACAAACCCAAACCCAAACCCAAACCCACGCCATCTAAACAATCACCGGCCGGGTTAAAAGGGAAAGGAGTCCACATGCAAACTCAGTTGACCATTCCTCGAATTAACATGGCTACTAAACAAACCATGGAAATTCGAGGCGGCAAAACTAGATATAACAAAAGAAAAGACTTGAACCCGTTAGATTCACGCACAAACTCCTTTTCTAGGTAGTTAGGAAAGGAGTAAACCTGCGTTCTGGCATTTCATCAAGATGGTACTATCTCCGTCCCAATTTGAGAAGATAAAAGAGATGGGCCCAGATTCAGCCGTTCAAACAAAATACATAATGTTTTCCAGGTCAGTGTGTAACCTGTAGAACCTCTCATCGACCGAGGCCACTGATGAAAATGAAGATGAAGTTAATGATGAAGATGGCGACGATACTGAAGCCGGAGATTGCCCCTCCACTATCGCCTCATGGTACAACCGTCCTCTATAGGCAACCAGGTCAGCATAATACACTGGTGGGACCAACGACACGGGTTTAGTGCACCGAGCAAAGGTGAAGCACAGGTTATATATGAGTTTCTGCAATTGATCAGAAGTAAACCCATGCTCATCCCATAAGACATGGTAGTGAGTGGGCTTGCTTGTTCCGAGACTTCCATAGTGGCTACACAGATAGAAATCAAACTCGAATGGGTGCACAATTTTCGAGTCCACAACTGTTCCTGGTGGTACATTGCCAGTGGTACCTGCATCCCTCTTACTATCCGGAAATAGACGAGTCTGGTGTCGCTTCTGAGCTACAATCAGCGTGATAGTTGGGAAGTAATTGACCCTTTTGCATGCCTCCTTGAGCTGTGTTAACTCTTCATTTAGAACCATATCGAACTGGCCATCACTTACCCCATCACGAAAGACCACAATCTTCTGTGGCTTGACATTGTTCAGACAAGTATAAGATTGAACAAGTTCCAAGCACATGTCCCCAAAATTCAGAATCTTCTCTGTCCTATGGTCTTGGGGCCGAATCCTTGCCACATATCGATTAGCTGCAGGCCAATTCACAGTGGCCACAACAGCTGCTATTGATGGGCTTGTTGTGTTCCGAGCAGCAGGATGATTAACGTCAGCCCCCACAAACATCACATGCTCATCACCCTCAAAGTAGGGAAGCCTGTCCAGGAGCTCTGCATTGCTGCCTCCGAGCTTGGCATTGATCTTGAGAGCGAGATTGGCAAGATATTGGTCATAGCCTCTGTTAGCCCTTTTAGCATTACTGGACAAACAACATTGCGTCACCAAACCAAGTCCGGTTTCACAGATCCACTTGAGATATTTGTACCCAGGATCCTTCTTAGCCATCACACAAATAAGAATCTGTAAATGGCCCTTGGCATTCTTAGAAGCCCGGGAAGTAACACCTTCAAGAAGGTTACGGAGCCCATCGACATTGGAGAATTGATTCATTGAAGTTGGGTGATAATAGGCAGGTTCATTCATGAAAATTCCTAAACTCTCGCACCGAGCAATAATGTCACCAATAAATGCAACATCCAGTTTATTATATCGATCAGAAGCGCTGAAGTCAATTACAGCCCACCTCTCTATTCTTTTGCCTTCTACAACAGCTTTGCCAACCAGGTTCCATTGGCATTTCTCCTTCTCAACTTGTATCTTAATCACTTTTCCCCCAACAGCACCTACCTTCAACTCAGGTGGCCCAATTACACGTCCATCGACACTTGTCATACTTGTATTCACTTCAAGCCCAAAATTCCGAGTGATCTCCCCACTGCCAAAAAATTTATAAAACATTAGAACTGAGATGCTGCTTCAAGCAGATTAGACATGCCATCAGTGGTTTGTCCAATCAGTCAGCATAATAGGTTCTATTGAAACTGTCATATTTGAGTTGGGTATACCAATGCATATATATTATATATATGAACTACATGTTCAAAATGTGGTACTCACAGCAACATCGTCAATAACCATTAACGACAGAGATTGTGCACAAAAACCTACACTAAAATTGACATTTAGAGCATTTGTACAGTCAGGCATATCGTTGAAAATAGAAAAAACATGACCTAAAATGTTCAAGCAGCCATTCACATTTGTCAGTTTTTAAATGAGACCCTTGCAAACTCAAAAAGATAGAAACAAAAGAAAATAATGAAAGGGCAACATTGCTTGAATGGGGAAGTACTTTGCCAGAAAGTGATTCTTTTCAACCATAAGCGCACTGAATATAAAATATCAAGGCACAGTCTCTGCCACAACTTTACGCAAAAATTTTGGTAAATTATGGAACTAGTCCACCTCAACTAACCAAACTACTTGAAACCACTTTAAAGTGAATTGTGCAAAAAATGAAAGGTTAATTAACAGAGATTACTAGAATAAAAAAGTGTATTGGTGTATAGTACGTACCCGCAAGGCCCAATCCTAGACCTTATCATTTTAGATATCATCTCCTGTCTTTCCCATGGTCGAGCCAGTGATATATCCTTCAAGAATTTACCAGCATTTCTATCCAGATTCTCTTTTGGATATATCTGCCCTTCAACTAAGACGCAGAACTCCATCGGTACATAGTTTTTTCGATTACTTTTTCCCAAATCTAAGCAAGGAATATCTGGATATGTAATTTCCTGGCCATATTTTTCCCTAAAATAATCAACAAGTCTGACTTTCCTTGCTGGGGCCCTCCCCTCTGGATCTTCAGCATCAAACGTTACCTGTCGTGTATTCTCCCTAGTTAACCCAGCAATGATGTACTTTTGCTTGGTACGACGGTGGGTCACAGTAACTTTTACTCCTCTCAGTTTGTTCTCAACTTTTCTCCAGTCTCTGTAACCATTTGGATCAAAACGCTCAACATGCTCCCTCAAGAAGTCTATAACTGACATTCGCTTACGAAATGCTAAAACAGAGTAGTCCAAACACAATGCCAGACCCTGGGAGGTGGCCTTCAGGCCATGTTGAAATCCTCGAGATGCTGTGATTCCACCTCCAAGGTCATCTCCTGGAATAGGTTCAAAAGGGTGAAAACTTCGGCCAACAGAAATCATATTCCGAGTTGAATTCTCTTTCATTACTACATCCATCCCTTGCAAAATATCGCGGGGGTTAGATAAGAGTGTCCCTGTCAAGTAATCCTTCAACTTGCGAAGCTTTAACTCATTTACAAGCTTTATAGTGAATACATACGAACGAATCTTCATATCTTCTGCTTCAGAGAATTTCACAGTAAATTTTCCAGTTGTCAGTTCCACTGCACTAAAAATATTCTTCTCACCATCATAGGCAGTCAATGCCAAAGGGAATCGAGCAGGATCATCTTCAAACAACTTGTCTCTGATCATAGCCAAATGAGACTTTGGTATTTTCACAGGGCGACCATGCTTGGGGAGCTCCTCTGGTTTGACATCAACATCATAGTGCCTTATGATGCTCTCAGGATTAAACTTGATTGGGAAATGATTGACTGATAGCCTCAAAGTCCGAATGGCAAGTGTACCACCTTTATCAGGGCGCTTCATTGGGACACTCGGTGACAACGTAGACCCCGATCCCGAAATCTTCAATTTTTGCATATCTAGAACAATAAAACAAAAACCATTAATGAAACAAAAACTTTCTCGGTCAGGCTGCAAATCATAACATCACTTCCATTTGCACTCAATTTGGAGAAACTAATTGCTCGTAAAAACGATAATATCCCGACAAAACACTTCATTAACAATTAACGAGGAACAAACATAATACAATGTGTCAACGATTCAAAACTACACCCAAACTTGCAATGAGCAATGCTGCGTGGCCCAAGTGATGCGGCATCTACACCTGCATGTCACTTGATCCACAATAAGTCCTTCTAAAACAATGCCACCACTTTTAATGTAAAATTTGATACCTGACCTCAGATATATAGCTCAAACAATTCAACATTTCTTAGAATCCAAAAACCGCATATCTCTAAAGCTATTTTCCCCCATTTAGGATGCAATATTTGTGCTTTTTAGAATATTTAGACAATTTGAATAACAATTTTGAAAAACATCTAGAACTAATATGCTTCATGAAATAATATACATAAAATTGAAGTGAAAAAACGTGTTAATTCAAGTATGAGTTCACATTCATACCATCAACGACAGGCTGTACGGCCGGCAAGACAGGCTGTACAACCGGCAAGACAGGCTGTATAACCGGCGAGACGGAAGGTCTGGGCCGAGGTTGATGCCACGGATTAGACGGCTGCGGCTGCGGCCTACTCCACTGAGTGGACTCGTTCGAACCACGATCCTGGTCTTGCGGCCGGTGATGGTCGATGCGGTGGCTCCCGCCGTGCTCGGTGTTCGCACTCCTCCACTGTGTCTGGTCACTCGAACCCCAATTCTGATCACGATCATAGCTCCTCTCAAAATCCCGGCCACGGCGACCACGAACATTTCCACCTCTGCCTACGCCGCCGCCGTCTCTTCCTCCGCCTCTATATCCGCCGTTTCTTCCTCCTGCCCCATATCCACCGTTTCTTCCTCCTCCTCCATATCCTCCACCTCCACCTCCACCTCGCCCTCCACCTCCTTCTCCTCCTCTTCCACCACCTCTGCCTCTGTAACCTCCTCTCTCCATTGGACTTCACTCGGGAGAGTTCTTACTAAATTTTACTCTCTCCTAACTCGGTCTCCGCAAACTCAACGCAACTCAGCCCAGTCAACTCAGAATAAAATAATCTATTAGCTGTTATGATATGCGGTTTTCTCCAAGTAGGGTCAATAAGAGGGTTTATATAGTGTCACACTGTCACCCGTTAACATGAAAAATTACTAAAATGCCCTTAGCGTGGCGCCTAAGGGGAAAAACGAAATTAGAAGGAAAGAAGTGAAGGGGTTGGAATCTTTAAAATTTCCAGAAGCTTCGATGAAACCCACGCTTCTTTGCGTTTTCTTTAAGGAATTTGGGCGGAGAGTTTCATAGGATATATTTGTGATTGCATAAATTTTCTTTTCTTTATTTCTCTTAATTTGGATTTTCTTATCATATGGCATATAGTAGGTACCCCGATAATCCAATTTGATATTCGAATAACCAAAAACTAATAATATTGAACGAATTTTTTTTTAAATTATAATTATTATTTTACATAAATTAATAAACTTAAGATTTATTATCAAACTAGTTTAAATAAATAATTCTTAATTAAAATATTTTTATATTTTTGTAACACATCACTCCATGGCGTCATGGTTATATAAAACTAGAAAACTTAAGCCGTAGGTAAGACAGAAAACTTAAATCGTAGGTAAGACATTCTTTATCATATTAAATATTCTAACAAACTTTTTAAAGTCAATAATTAATGCTTATATAAAAAAGCAATATATTCTCCACTTTAAAATTAAAGCAGGGGGCTTTCATGTATTAATCTAACAATATGAGTGGATTTTTTTTTAAATAATAATAAATCTAAAGCTGCATTCAGCCCTATCTTACCCAAAATACATATTTATTTTCTATTATCAAAATCCAATCATATTCTATTCAACTATTTTTAAACTCCTTAGGTTTATTAATTTAACTAAACAACCTCAACAAATTTTTTTTTATAAATTGACAAAAACACTCTCACCCAATCACATTTGTCAGATTCCGATCACCACCGTCAGAAGGTAGTTGGAATCTGCTGTAATGACACACTATCGATTGGATTTGGCCAATTGTGTGCCAATATAGCATTTTTTCGGCCAGATACCAGATCCACCGTGGATCTAGTCGAAAAATACCAGATGTATGACCAAAGATCTGGTCTTTGATGGCCACATCTTTGGCTACATTTGATCGTTAATGACGACTATATCTTGGCCGTCATTAGCAATCAGATGTGGTCAGATCTGACCGAAAAAGGTCATATCGGTGCACGACCGGCTAGATCTAGCTAGTCGTGTGCCATTACCGCAAATTCCGACCACCTTTTAGTGGCGGTGGTTGAAATCTGGCAAATGTGGGTAGGTGGGGGTGTTTTTATTAATTTATAAATTTTTTATTGTAGAGGGTGTTTAGCTAAATTAACAAACCTAGGAGGTGCTTTTGTTAATTTTTAAATCCTACCTCGTAATTAGAACCCATCTCAACTTTTTTAAAAATACTACTCAAAATAATAAAACAAACACAACTTAAGTATTAAATTAAATTGATAAAATTAAGAGTAAAATAAAGTGTCAATAAGTCAAAAGAATAAATTCCATTGAAATGAATAAAGTTTTCTTTATCAATGAAGAGATCCTTTACTCTTTTCACACCTTTGTGAAGAATTGCTATCTTCTTAGTGAAGGTATTATTATTTAATTATACTCTTTGAAATTGATTTTTTTTAATATTTTATATATAAATGAGAAACAAATATTAAATATATTTAAAGTTTTGAAGTTGGATGTGCTTAGATAAGACAAAGAAAAAGTATAGTATCAACAGAAATAAAGTGAAAATTTAATGCAATTAATAAATAGATTCCTCTGGCTACACATCTTTTTATCTTTTTAATTCATATAATAAATGAATGAGTAAAACTATTGACCACAATTAAATAGTTTTAATAACAAAAAAAAAATCTTATAAAAGCTCATAAATTCAAATACCCTTTATTTAATGACATTATTCAAAAGCAAAAATCAAACATTAAAAGAAAATTAGGGAAGAGAGAAAATGAGGGTTCAGGTTTCTCATTGCAAAAGAACGGAGGGAAAAATACAATACAATGCAAAAGAGGGAAAATGAGATAATATACAAAAGTAATAAAAAACTACACTACCCTTATAATAAATATATAATAACTCTAACATTCCCCCTCAAACTCACGATGTAACTACAGAAAGCATCGAGAGTTTGCCAATGAGAAAGCGAAAGTGTGAAATAGGATGCAACTTGGTAAAGAAGTCAGCAAGCTGTAAGGAAGAAGAAACAAAAGGCAAAGTAATGGTGCCACACTTGATGTGGTGATGGGCAAAAAGACAATCCATCTCGATGTGCTTGGTTTGTTCATGAAAAACTGAGTTGTGAGCAATCTGAATAGAACTATATATGATTGTCACAATAAATAGGTGTGGGATGCAAAAGAGAAACACCCATATATATAAGTAACCAACATAACCAAACATTCTCTTTGGTAGTACATGCACATAGCACGATACTCTGCTTCGGCAATAGATTGAGAAAAAATAGTTTGTTTCTTGCTCTTCCAAAAAATAAGAGACTCGCCCAAAAAGATACAAAAACCAATAACAAATTTGCGATTCGTAGAATCACTACCCCAATCAACATTAGAGTATGCACGCAGCTCCAAGGATGAGGTGGATGGAAGTAATAGACTTTAAAAGATGGTACCTCGAAGGCATCGCAAAATACAAAGAACAGCTTCCCAATGAATAGTAGTAGGAGAAACAATAAACTGACTAACAATATGAACAACATATGCAATGTTTGGGCAAGTGATAGTAAGGTAGACCAAACTACCAACAATAGTGCAATATAAAGTAGGATCTAACAAAGGAGTACCATTAGAAGGAGTATACCGAATGTTAAGCTCACAAGGAGTATCTATAGTTCTAGTATCAGTGAGACGAGCACGCTCAAGGATATCAGCGGTGTACTTAGACTGAGAGAGAAGGTAACCTTTTAGAGAAGAGGTAACTTCAATACCCAAAAAGTAGAGAACCCAAATCCCTTATTTCAAACTAACGGGCTAATTTTGACTTCAACACTACAATCTCATCAACATCATCACCAATAATAATCATATCATCAACATATAGAGAAAGCAAAATATGACATGTAGACGCTTGATAAAGAGAGTTGAGTCATGATTACTAGAGGAAAACCCAAGAGTTATGATCATAGTAAAGAACTTTCAAACCAAGCTCTAGGTGCCTGTTTGAAGTCATATAAAGCATTCTTAAGCTTGCAAACTTCTCCATGTTTATGAGAGACACCAGGCGGGGGAACCATGTAAACTTCTTCATGTAGATCACCATTCAAGAAAGCATTCTTAACATCCATCCTTGATATATGCCATTGACGAGCATATGTAATTGCAATAAGAGTACGAACTGTAGTCATTTTTGCAATAGGAGCAAAAGTCTCTTCATAATTTATACCATACTACTGAGAAAACCCCTTAGCAACTAGTCTAGTTTTGTAGTAGTCAACAGACCCATTAGACTTGGTTTGATTTTGGAGACCCAGTGAGAAACAATTGTACTTTTACCAAAAGGTAAAGGTACCAAATCTCAAGCATTTGTCCTTTGCAGAAAAGAAAGTTCTTCATTCATAGCATGCTGCCAAAGGGGGTCAAGAATTGTCTCTTTGTAGGATATGGGCTTAGAGAGACAATGAATAGATGCTAAAAAGGAAGAAAAAGATGTTGAATAATAAGAGTAAACAAAATCTGGTAGGTGAGTAGACTTATGAGTACATCGAGGATAACGAAGAGAATCCACAATCTTAGGAGGAGCTTGGGCGACTACAACAGGAGGGGAAGTATTGAAAGGTGTAGACTACGAAGTACCAGTATATGCAGAACTAACAATGTGATTTTCTCTCCAAGAATAATAAAGAGGAAAAAGGGCTATAGAAGCAATAGATGAGTCAGAACCTGTAATGGAAGGGACTTGTGGAGGAAAGCTATCTATATGGATAGAGAAATGATCAATATGAATGAGATCAATTTTGGTCAAGTTGTGAGTAATAGCAGGAATAGAAAAGAAAGGTATATGTTCAAGGAACAAAACATGACGAGATACATATAGTTTCCGTGAAACTGGATCAAAACAATGATACCCCTTTTGCCCTTCACCATAACCAAGAAACTCACAAATGACAAAGCGTGATGATAATTTAGTACACTTTACACGAGGAAGAAGGACAAAACAAGTAGAACCAAAGACTCTCAAGAATGAATAATCAAGAGCATGCCTATATAACTTTTCGAAAGGTGACAAACCTGAAGTGTGAGACGATGGGATCTTATCAATTAAATTGACTACAGTAGGTATTGCTTCTCCCTAAAATCACTTGGAACAAAAGAAGACAACAAAAGAGAACGGACAATTTCAACAATGTGCCTATGTTTTCTTTTAGCAACACTATTTTGCTCAAGAGTGTTTGTACGAGAAATTTGATGAATAGTTCCATCCAAAGCAAGCAATTCACAAAATTTATTGGAAGTATATACACCACCCAAATCACATCTAAAACACTTAATAACAGCAGAGTGTTGAGTTTTTACAAGAGCTCGAAAGTTGTTATAAATGCTAAAGAAGTCAGAACGAAATTTCATAAGATAAACCAAACAAAAACAAGTGTGATCATCAATAAAAGAAACATAATATCAAGAACCTTTTTTTGTTACTTTGGGTGAAGGTCCCCAGTCCCCACACATCATAATGAACTAAATCAAATGGTGCAATAGAACAAGTACTTCAATTAAAAGGCAAAGCAGAAAATTTTGCAAGTTTACAACCACTATAATCATAAATATCATGAGTTTGCAAATTTCCTAAGATTCCTGTAGAGGCTAAAAATCTTAAGCGAGAAGTTGAAACATGATCAAGATGAGAATGTCATAAATAAAAGCTAGAAGATGAAGAACACAAATGAAAAGAATACAAGTTAACACTAGGAGCTGCAAATACTAGTAATCTCAACTTGTCCAAAACATATAATCCCCTTTGCCTACGGCCTATCCCAA